ATNTATTTGTTACGCAATTCCACTATTCTTCTGCTTTCCATAACTGCTTGACGTTTGTTTATTATTTTAAATCTAAATCCAAGTTTCTTTATCCAATTCTGGAGGGTTTTGTCACAGCGGCTCACGTTATGGCCGGAAGTATTCAATTTCTTCCTTATGATTTCAGTTGTAGAAATCTCATTGCTTGTTTTTTTTCAATGATTTTATCAGATGAACATCTGAAGGTTTTGGTAATCCCGTATTATATCGCGTCTTGCGTTCATAAGGTTCGTTTTTGACTATTTTACGTACAGTTGAGAAAGGAATTTCGGTCAAATCTGATGTTGCTTGTAATAGTTTCTTTCCCTCGAAACCAAACTTGAGATGTACATTCATATATACATTGAAACATACAATCTGTGTTTCAATATTCAAACAAATGCATAACAAAAATTTTAAGTAATTATGACTGTCCCAATATAGAATTTCAACACTCAATTCGCGAACTTTCACGACACAACGGCGATACTCATCTCTACATTCTATTCGTCACCGCAACATTACTTCAAATTCAATTTGATGACTCTTCAGCCAATCATAAAACTCGGTTAGTGAAAATTATCCAATACAAACTGCCAATTCTTCAGTCCACGTGGACTAGTTGGCAGCGGTATTATTTCTCTATACTGAGTTTTTTGGCCTTCGAAATGCCGATAGCTTCAACTATTCACAATACAGCTTACTTCGACTATATTTTTCGATTTCCGTCAATCAGATTCAAAATTCTCATCTCCTCCAAACCCCCATCCCTACACCACTGTTGGCACATTATAATTACATAAATTAAGTAAAGTCGAGAAAACTACCTAACTAATGTACCTTAATATGGGGGTACGTTGAGAATGTGAGGCTGATCAGAACGGTGAATGGGCAGATTCACAGTCTCTTTATCCGATAATAAATCGAAGACTGGTTCAGATATTTTGAAAATATAATTACCTGCTTTCAGTCTGTAATGGAATACCGAGGACGGTGTTGTCTAGCAAGGGCGTTTTTTTGACGCGAATGATCGAGTCCTGACGTTGAACGAGGTAAAAGTAACGGCGCTTGACGCTAGACGAAATAGAAATGAGAGAAAACTGTCATGAGCTCATAGAGAGCTATTTTAATGAATCGACCCAGACAGTAAAAATTGGTGATGACTCAAGTAACTCAAGAATCATTGAGTATGCGATACCGCAAGGCACAGTTCTGAGTCCAGTGTTTTTCTTTTTTTAATGGCAAACCACATGTACTACTGGAGAATTCTTCAGACGGTCTTGAAGCTTGAGGTTAAGTGAAAGAGGAATTAAATGATGACTTTCATCATGTAAATTGAACTTCGCCTTTTATCTTCTTATAATAAATGAACTGTGTATGATCAATTTGCTTTAAATGTATTATGTATATTATTATTATTAATTTGTAAGAACGGTCTCAGGAAGTTTGATCCACATAAATGCAGTATTTCAGATGAAAGAGTTCTTGAAAAGTGAAGTTCGAGGTGAACTAAGTCCGTCGCGTATTTCTGATATGTACCGCTCTTGATGGAATCAAATGTGTCATTTGTGAATTTGTAGAAATACCATCAGAATTGCTAAAGAAACTCACTTCAAAAATGGAATTGATAACTCACACAATAAAATAAAAGTACCAATAGTACCAAATAGAGAGTTAGTGCCAAAAAGAGCAGAGATATTGAAATACCAATCAGTGTGAACGATATAAATGAATTCTACTGTTCGATTGGACAGAAGCTCAGTCAGAATATTGTGGTACTTACCCACATATTGATTTACAAAATGTTGCAATCAATGAATCTCTTCAATTGGATGATACGAATATTGATAAACTGTTTGAAGTTTTTGGTGATATTAGGAATGAATCAACATCTGGTTATGATGAAATTTCAATCAAAATTATTGAAGATCTTTCAATAGAAGCGCCCAGAACTCTTGTATCACTAATCAATCTTTCATTCAGAAATGGCAGGTTTCCATCCTTTCTAAAATTGTCGATAGTGATTCCTTTATATAAAGGTAACTCTGTAGATGATCCTTCAAATTACCGACCAATATCTCTCATACCTACTATTGCAAAACTAATTAGAAAACTAGTTGAGGAAAGACTCAATGAATTTCTCCTTCGCCATGACATTATAAGGAAAAAATCAATTTGGATTCCAGAGCAACAAGAGCACACATGATGCAATATTTGCTTTCCTGTTTGAGGTGTATTTCAATATGAATGATGGAGATGCTGCTGCAGCAATGTTTTGTGACCCTACAAAAGCGTTTGACTGCATTGATCATTAAATACTGCTACGTAAGCTGAGTGTCTATGGATGTAGAAGGATAACACTTTTGAGTCGTTTGAGTCGTATCTCAATGGTCGCAGTCAGATTGTGAAAACGATTGAATGTTCAATCAGTATCGAAATAAATACTGGTGTACCACAGGGATCGGTTCTCGGTCTCATATTGTTCCTGTTGTATATTAACGATTCGATGAACATAAATATATCTGGAACATTCACTCTTTTCGCTGACGACACCACGATATTGTGGCATAGTAAAGGTATAGATATACTCAATGAGACAATAGCTCATGATATATAAAAAATCAAGTATTGGTATGATTCCAATCTACTCACCCACAATATTTCTAAAACAAATATTATGACTTTCAAATGTTCACTTCAGAATTTATCTGTAGGGAGCGGTATCATTGAAAACAGAGACTGTACTAAGTTTCTGAGACTGTATATAGACGATGGACTGAAATCTAACGCTCACATCAGGAAAATGAAAAGTAAAATTTCCACCAGCTGTTATGCAGTGAGAGTTATTGCTAGAGAACTGCGAAAGTAGCATGTAACGCTTTGGTATAGTCTCACTTAAGGTACGGTATACTTTTTGGAGTGTGTGTAAAAGTGGGCCAAGTACACTTCCCTGGGGAACACCAATGTTGATATCTACCTCATCAGATATTTTTGAACCAATTTTTGTTTTTAGTTTTCTTTCACTAAGGTAACTAAGAAACCATGCCAGCACAGAGCCTGTTAACCCATAAAAATTAATTTTTTTTAACAAAATGTTTCTGTCAATTGTTTCTAATTCGCGCTTAAAGTCATACGCATCATACGCATTTTTCCATCTAGAGAAAGTATACTGAACAGCTGATTCACAGGAATGATTTTTTCTGAATCCAAAATTATGACAGATTTGATAAATGATCACATAGAAATGAATAGAAGTGAGATGGTCGTTTTGTAATTTTTTAAGAATATTCAATCATGAATTTGAAAACTTCTTGAATGTACGGAACCGAAAATATTCAAACATAATTCTAATTACAGACATGCTATATCTGTTTACGAAAACACAGACGAAACACTGGAACCTTTTGATCTTTCCGCCTGCCTATGGGACATTTCGATGTTGGCAGAAACAGTCGCCCGCGACACAGTCTTCAAAATGTTTCTAATTTCGACAACTCAAGTTTTTGTTTTGTTTTGTTGCGAAATTCCGACTTAGTGCTGCAATTTTGTGAACATTTTGGTGAAAATCTTACGAGAAACTGTTCCAAGAACGCTTCAACTATTGTTTATTAGCGAAACGTGCCGGTTTTTTGTTTTCTTCAGATCCGTTCATGAAACCATTAACGAAATCCTTCAAATGAAACCGCGGTCTCGAAAAAATCCCCATCACGTTGGCGAGTGAAACCGGTCGAAAAAACGTCAGTTGTTCGGAGCCATTCCATCATTATTATAGGTTCCCCCTTATTAATATAATAGCCAATATTTATCCGCTTTCTAAATAATCCATTTAACATAAATTTGAGGATAATTTCGGATCCGACCTCTTAGAAGTAATTTATATTTTAATAGCCACATTTTTCAGACCTTATCAACATAAATTATCGGACTGTCTATATCATAACCTCTATTTATAGTGATTTACACCGAGTTTATTCATTGTTTTTTTATTATATCGCCGGAGTAATTGTCTATGTGTTGGTTTTACATCTTAAATGATTTTCCTTAACTATGCTTATGTTGATAGATGTAATGAGTGTAATTCCAAAAGGGATTGGCAGCGTGATTAGCTATTTATTCCATCATTTTTGAAACAATAGATCAACTTTTAAGATTGGTAGTAATGATAGTTTTCAGTGAATGCTGAGTCATATCAACTAAATGAAAAAATTGTGAAGGTCATTTTGATTCACAGCAATGACTGGGTTAGGTTAGATATAAAGTGAGTGGATCTATTCGACCCTCCACTGCAACCCGCAAGGGTTTATTGTGGCTCACACCTATTCACACTCGTTGGAGTAAGCCAATCCTGGAAGATTGTGCCAGAAGTCCATAAATGTTATGATCATGAAAAATGTTACCTCCTTGTTTTTATAGTGACACGGAGACTCAAGTTAGGTATCAATTGCTGAGGTGTCACTCGAAAAAAAAGTGCTGGGTAGTTTCCACGACGCTGCAATTGTCAAAACCATCATGAGATGATCTCAGACGGGTAATCTGACCTCTTTCTGGGTCGCCTATGTTGAATTCTTCTAGCTTCACATGGAATGGAGATGTTGCTTTGTGACTAAATTCTAGGACACCTTGTACAAAAACGCAACACGGTGTTTTCATAAAATTATAGAAGCATATTCAACTAATGAGGTATATTTCCCCGAGATAAACTTCCACAAAGTTCAAGAGATAACCACTATTGGAAACAGGGTTCGACGGAAGGTCTCCTGATAATTACTAAATCAACCTTTCAAGTTCATTCTGACTGTATAAAAAGGATAAACATCCGATAACTTCTCTTGTTTGCTTGGCCGTTTATTGGGGTAAGTTTATCTTGACTATTATTGAAAAAACTTTCATTTGATATATCCTTTGATGAAGGACGTTTTACTCGAGTGAGGTTCATAAAATTGGGAGTTTCTCAAACCAGCTCAAACCAGTCCATTCCAGCTACGTGAATTGAATTTATGCTTGACATTATCAAGCTCGCAATATTTATAGACCAACTGCTGGAGAAATCTTGCTGTTATGGGCAATTCTACTCCAACAAGTTGTAAGCAAGCTCTGAATACTTATTCACATTCCCGAAATTTTGAAAAAAATATACAAAATGAACAGATGAATGTCTGTTGTTACAGTTAAATGGAATATTATTAGCCGTTGTAGCCACACAAATTAATCATCTCAACAATAATGGATTTTACTCAATTGCATATGCAAATGACGTAGTTATCTTGCAGACCAGCGAATTTGTGAACACACTGTGCCATAGAACGCAGGGCTCAAATGAATAGAAACATGGTGTAAGGAACACTCACTGTCGATCAATCCCAAGAAGACTAAGATGGTCCAAGATGACTAAGATGGAAGTTTATCGGGCTTAAAACCTCCAGAAATCTTCAAAAGCAAAGTAAACCTCTCTGAAGAGGTGAAATACCTTGGTACTAACCTCGACAGGAAGCTGACATGGAACACTCACCTACAGAGTAGAGCAAAAAAGGGCATATGTGGCTTATGAGCAATGTCGGAGGACAGTGGGACGCGCATGGGGTCTTTCACCCCGTGTGGTCATCTGGATCTACACTGCAATAATAAGACCTATGTTAACGTACGAAGCCATTGCATGGGGACCGAAAGATCTACAAGCAACGGCCATCCAAAAATTATACCAAATACAGCAGATTGTTTTGTTTGAACATCCCAGGAGCCATGAGAACAACACCAACCGCGACAATGGAATTAATTACTGGTCTGGCCCCTCTGCACCTGTACAATAATGACGTCGCGTCAATGGCCATGTTACGATTGCGCACGGCTTGTGTAAACCTAGAAGTAGAAATGGGTCAATTGACGCTGAGTCTATGGCGAGATGCATTTACTGCGCAACCTCTGCTGCAGGCAGCCAATGATGCAATTGAACCCAGGTTTGTGTTTAATAAACCCTACAAAATAAAAATGAAACAGAACACAGTCATATGCTACAAATGCAATACGCATATATAGAGATGGCTCAAAAACCAAAGAAGGCTCAGGATATGGAGTGTACTCCATCACATTGAGCCTAAGGATTAAGTGGAGAATGGGAAAAAATACCAGCGTGGTTCAAACAGAACTGGCTGGTATCTTAATCGCCACAGAAGAAATAACCAGGAGGGGACTTTCTGGAAAAAGCATAACAATCTGCACTGATAGCAGACAAGTCCTATTAGCCTTGAACAGACGTGTTACCTCAACGCTAGTACTAGAGTGCCACCAAGATTCGACCTCGGTAGATAATTACATTATCCTGAGGTGGGTTAAAGGGCACGACAGGAGTAAAGGTAATCGCATTGCCGAGTATTTAGCCAAGGAAGCGGCTGGACTAAGAATTTAAGGAACAAGTGTCACCTACGGCCTGATGACTTCGACATTTGCGGAAATAGCCAAACGTCAAACCCATGCTCGATCACTAAAGAGATGGAAGGAAATGAAAGGATGCAATCTTGCCAGGATCACCCTGGGCGACCCTGGAAAGCTGGCGCTGAAGAAATATCTGGCGATGACCAGGAAAAATTTTCGCTCAACACTAGGATTTCTTATTGGCCACTGTCTTACTAAGGAAACACCTCCATATTATGGGGCTGGTGAACACACCTCTATGCAGGATGTGTGAACAGGAAGATGAAACTGTCAGGCATGTCCTAGGCGAGTGCCAGGAGTTATCCTCAATACGAAAATGTGAGCTCGGCGAGTTTCCCAGTGACCTGTTCACCTGTCTGGAAAGGACAGGATGGACGATGGCCCAGAAGGACAACTCTTCGGGAGGATGTACAATGGGTCACATGTGGCATAAGTGCTGTGGACCTACAGTTAAACTCTCTACTCTACAGATACTCTTGTAGCCTAACCTAACCTTATTTCAAACAAATTTCAGCTAGCCAAATACAAACGCGTAACTATAAAATAATTTTATTTTCGAAGGAACTCAAAGATGCAGCTCTTGATCATTTTTGCAGCCATCCTAGTCGCAATCAATGCTACTACTGACGAAGAACATTGGTTGGAGTTTCAGGTAATAATGCTAGTAATAGTGATAACTGTACCGATAATATGCATTTCTTATACAATGAATCAGATGTGAGACCTTCTAGGATCAATGGAAACCTCATTGTAGGATCACAGACATCATGACTTCATGACAACTGGATCACAATTTACGTATCGTTCCAAATTATCCCTTGAAAACAATAACACCGGCCGCCACTGGTCGTCATAAATCAATTGTGACGTGCTCAAGTCGGAATTTCGACGAATTTTCTCCCCCCTTCGAAGTACTTCGATTGCCATATATGAATGCCTCCACGAGCATATCGATGTAGTCAAGTTTGGTGGATAGTGCGGTACAGAACGATCTGATAAGGCGATAAGGCCGGTTCCTTGCCTTTATTCGAGGCGCTCGCCGCAGGAAGTGCCCCTGCTGTTGGAGGTGGAGTAGGGGAGGAGGAGGATGCACTTATAGTTGCTGCCACTCCTGCATCTTTCGCTCTCTTTCTCCTTTTGGTCTCAGCGCCGCAAATACGCCGCCTTTGTATTACATCACGAGGTGATCTACTATGTCCAGCCTCACTCCGAGCAGTAGATTGTGGTGGACATTTCTGATCATCCCCAGCCACCGCCATAGATTGAGGTGAGCACTTCTGCCCAGCCATGAGATTGGTTTCTCCCTACGGCCATTCAGCTGTCGGCACGATTCCTTAGACCTCAGCTTGGGTAGGCTGGTCCACGGTGACATGTTTCGCAAAGGCTTTTGGGGAGTCTTAGTTCCCCTCACCCTACTTATTTCTGCCACTGACCAGGAGTCCGGCGATCCCGTCCGTTTCCCTACCCACGGGAAACGTAACAGTATCAACATCTCATATCTATTACATTGGAATGGTATATAACTCATGATCATAACTGAAACCTCTCACCGACATTCATTTTTTTGTCAACAAAACACATATTTCATCTATTTCATTGGAGCAGAGTTTTTAGCCTGCTATTAAAAATTATTTCTCCAGTGAACATTTTTTGAAACACTCTGTTTTCAAGCTTCAGCAGATTCTAGGAATCTGCAAAATAAACTTTTACGTACATTAACATCTTGTTTGTGTAACACATGATAACTCAAGCTTTATGGATTTTATTGCAGCGAACCGAGAACAAAGCATATTCAGATCCATCAGAAAAAGTAAGGAGATTTGGAGTATTCCAGAACAATTTACGGATAATCGAAAAACACAATGCAAGGTATCATCAAGGACTCGAAAGCTACTTTTTGGGAGTTACAAGTTTTGCGGATTGGACCGATGAAGAATACCTCGATTTGCTCAACTTCCAAGATGATGAAATTCCTGCTTTGAACGAGAGTTTTCACGTTTTTGCTGAAGATCTGAAAGTGGCAGATTCCAAAGACTGGGTCGTGGAAGGAGCAGTTTTGCCTGTGCAGAATCAGGGTAAATGCCAATCGTGTTGGGCCTTCAGTGTTGTAAGTATTTTCCAACTCATTGAATTGGTATTCTAATCAAAGCAGTACTCTAAATAGGGAAAATAAAGTTTCACAAGGAAAAATAATGGAGAATCGATTGCCAGGTTGAGGTTTCTTGGAAGCATTTTGATTTCGTTACCTCATCACCTTTGATAATGTCAACCGCAGTAGTGGACAAAACATCAGGCATAAAAACCTGCAGATCATGACAGACTCCTTGAACAAAAAATATTCGTCACATCACAGGATTTATGAAATGCAAGTTTTAATCAATGGACAAACCAATAGCAGAAGTAAGACAGAGACGAAACTGGCCCCTTCCCGTCTGTGCTATATATCTGAAGATAATAAGACAACCTCGCAAGAGTCCGCGATCCTTGGGGGGTGTTAGGGGTGGTTTTCGAGTTCATCGTCGACTGGGACCTCCGTGTGGTCCCCCAGATAGGATCTCTTATGGGTCTTCCAAAAAATGTTTAGGGCTTGAGATACAACCTCGACTGGGACATCGAATTGGTCCTTGAATTAGGATGAGGCATCGCACCCAAAATTTCACGTCAAATATCCCAAAACAAATTATTTGAACCTCGATTTGGTACTCGACATAAGACTTCGACTTGATCTTTGAATTAGGATGAGGCATCTACAAAAAAAAACCGAGACCCGAGAGAGAAAACTGAAAAGGCCCCCGACACGGGCCCCGACACAGACCCCGAGAGAGACTCCGAAAAGGCACACGAAAAAGAAGAAAAAAAACCCAAAACCGAGACCAAAAGAGAACACCGCCACGGACATGGAAAAGGACAACGAAAAAAAAGAAGACACACCCACAAAAAACGTTGAGACCCGCGGTAGAGGTCGAGAGAAAAAACCGAGATGGCCCCAGAAACGGGCCCCAAAATGGGGATCGCACCACACCCCGAGAGGGCACACGAAAAACAAAACGACACACCCAAAAACAAGACCCCGTCGAGAGAGAGCCCCGAAAAGGGCCCCGAAAAAGAAGAAGACACATAAAAAAAAAGACAGTTGAGATGGGCGACAACACGAGACCCGAAAAGGGCCCAGAGATGGGGCTCGAAAAGGACACCGAGACGCCACGCGAGAATAGAGGAGAGGCTTCCCCAAAAAAAATCGAGCCTCGCTTTGGGCCTCGAGATGAAAGCCTGACTTGGCACTCAGGGGTCTTGGAGTTGGCACCTGAATCAGAATGAAATATCCTCAACAACGATTCCGTATTGGGATAGGCCTTCGACTTGGATATAGAAATTATCTTCCAACTAGGATGGGGCATCCCCCCAAAAAAAATTGTACTTCGATTTAGGCCTCGAAACAGGACTTTGATTTGATCCTTGAATTGGTTCTCGATTTGTCTCTCGAGTTGGTTTTCGATTTGGCACTTGAATAAGAACGAGACTTCCAAAAAAAATTTCGAGCCTTGATTTAGGCTTTATTATAAAACCTCGACTTGATCCTCGACTGGGTCCTTGATTTAGCCTTCGAATTAGTCATCAAATATGCACTTGAATTAGGATAAGAGATCCCCATTAGATATCAAATTAGAATGAGGCATCCCTAAAACATCTCGACTCAGCTCTCGACTTGAACTCCATCATAATTGCATAAAGTCGAATCTTTTTCAGTGAGATATGCAGCAAAATCAAGCAACTAAGGTGGCGAGATATCCAGAAGTAGGAGATCATAAGATCTGTATAGGTAATTACTAGAGGAGAGTTTGACTCTCTTCATGAAAGGTCTGGAGAACCAAACCTTCTTCATAAAATGCATCTGATGGGATATTGAGCACTGTTCAGAGAAGAAAGAACTGCTCGCAAAGTGAATTTCGAAGTTTTGCGTAGACAAAAATCATTGAGGTAGCTTGCAATCAAAGTAGGCAACTAAAAGGTATTTTCGTGCTCATCAACTCTGAATTGATTGGTAACTGCTAAATGTTTAAAATTGAATTCCATCTTGAATCCAAATTGAATTCCATCTTGAAACTGTAATCTTTTCAATGAATTGTCTCTTTTAGAATGGTGCTTTGGAAGGACAAAATGTCATTGTGAATAAGGTTAGGATACCCCTCAGCGAACAGCAATTGGTCGACTGCTTCCACAAAACTTGCAGTAAAGGTAGTCAAAGGAATAAGGCTCTCGACTATATCAAGAGTAATGGACTACAAGCAGACAGTTCTTATCCTTACGTAGCAAAATATACCCACTGTCAATATGACTCCAAAGAAGTGATTCTGAGAATGAAGGGATATAAAAGATTGAGCCCAAATGAGGAAGAACTCAAGAAAGCTGTAGGTAAGGTTTTTCTCGATATGACTCATTTGTAAGAAGGAAATGGTATTTGTAAAAAGACGGTCGAAGGCAATATGGATCCCTGGTGGTTTGCGACTTTCTCCATGATTTTTGATATCACTGATCTATAGTTATTTGGAAGACTTTCGTTGCGCATTGTGGATTCTAGTGAGGATATAGTGGGTGGTCCCTTTCTCAGAAAATCGACTTGGACGCAAATTGTTCAGCTTGTATATTTGCTTTTTCAATGGCTGTTGTTGCGATTGAACCATCCGCTTGTGTTAGTGGTGTAATTGTGTATTTTGTAAAGTTCTGATTAACAGCTTTAGCTACCGACCAGAAGGAGGATTGTTGCGCCGGTAGGCACTACACAAACTTTATTGGTATTTGTGTGTAGATATGTTTATGTACATGTATTATTATGTATATAATTTTTATTCTTTTTATATCATTATCATTCTTTTCAAACACTCAACTTCATAACAATTTTAAAAACTATTCATAGATATTAATTATAATATTGAAAAATAACATATCTGTGAATACTGTTTTGGATCAGACCCATTTGTATTTCTTCTACATAAATAAATAAGTAATCATATCTCAGTCGCTATTTTTCGGCGATTGAGGACATAAAAAACCGAATCCCTGCGAGAGCTCAAGGAAATACCAAAAAGTGCACATCAGAACTGCTTTTACTCTCAGTGGAAGAGCTTCATGAAGCAAGAGCCGAATCGATCCCTCTACGATACCCTTCTTCACTTGGAAGGATTGATCGCAGCAATATTCAACAACTTTCTATTCGGGGTGTACATATCGTGTTAGCTAGTGTACTTGAGAATAATAGAACAATGCTATATTTTTGTTCTTCAGGAACCCTGGGACCCATATCTGTGGGTATTAATGCGAGGGATTTAAAACTGTACCAAGGTGGAATCTTCAATCCAGCTAACTGCCCAACTAATACCAATCACGCAGTGTTAGCTGTTGGTTATGGTACGTCTGCCTCAGGAATGAAGTACTGGCTGCTGAAGAATACTTATGGAGTAAAGTGGGGTGAAGATGGATACCTCAGACTGATCAGAGATGCAGATAACAAGTGCGGCGTGGCAACCAGGATGTACTACGCATTTCTCAAGTAGAATTACCCGAATTCATTCATACAGCAATTGACAATGAAAGGAAATCTCTATACACATATTGCATAATGATTCTTCAACTATATATAACATTTATAGATGTGACATCTTATTAAATTTTACTAATAAAATTGTATATTCTTGGGTGTCTCCGTTTCTTCTTACCAGGAAGTAGAATCTTTCAAAAAATCAGACTCAGACTCATACGGGTGGCAATCCTTGTTCATATTTCACTGCCTGAACCACTGTGTATGCTGTTTTGGCGAGTGCATTGGCTTGGGGTGGGGATTTGAGCAAATCGGCCATCAGATGTCTGCTCCCACGTAGCCCCGCTTGATACGGGTACGACAGAATCACTTGTGGTTCTGTTATTCCCTAACTAAGTGGCATCCCAACGGTGGCTTAATCCTAAGGTGTGTGTATCCTTGCCGAGAGGATGAATGATACTGAGCCTATCAACTGTCTCTACGGAACCTTCGAGATACCAAGCGCCGTCTCGCCGTAGCCTTGTCACGGTAACGCAGGGCTCTGCCGTGATTGGCCATCTTTCCCTAGCTACTCCGGCCGATGTTCGAAGGTATCTCGACCGAATGTTTACGAACCGATGGATTGGTAGACGTGGACATATTGAATGGCCAGCGAGGTTGCCAGACTTAAATCCGTTGGATTTAAGTCTGGCAACCATCTTCAGATGGCCCCACATAAAGTATGGTTTATCTATAACTGACACCAAATGCAGGGTGTTGCATTTAAACAAATTACCGATGACGTCATCACATTAATATGGATCACCCTGTGTAATGGAATTTTGTTGTGAAAGGTAGAATATCAAAATTAAAAACTGACATGTTTCAGGTTTTTGTAAAACGACCTTTGGTTTTGGAAATATCGATTTATTCCATACTTTGCGGACAAACTGTATAGTGTAATAAAAACCAGTGAAACAATGTAATATCTTTGACTTTCAGGAACCCTGGGACCCATATCTGTACTTATGAATGCGGAACATTTGCATTTGTACGAAGGAGGAGTTTTCAATCTAGCTAACTGTCCATATAATCGTCTCAATCACGCAGTTTTAGCGTTATGGTACGTCTAACTCGGGAATGAAGTACTGGCTGCTGAAAATTCTTGCAAAGATGCATCTTTGATCTGTCTGAGATATTCAGGTAGAATATCAAAATTAAAAACTGACATGTTTCAGGTTTTTGTAAAACGACCTTTGGTTTTGGAAATATCGATTTATTCCATACTTTGCGGACACACTGTATAGTGTAATAAAAACCAGTGAAACAATGTAATATCTTTGACTTATGAATGCGGAGCATTTGCATTTGTACGAAGAAGGAGTTTTCAATCTAGCTAACTGTCCATATAATCGACTCAATCACGCAGTTTTAGCTGTTCGTTATGGTACGTCTAACTCGGGACTGAAGTACTGGCTGCTGAAAATTCTTGCAAAGATGCATCTTTGGTCAGTCTAAGATATTCATCTTCATCCCAATTCAGTCCACAAGAATTTTTCAGCAGCCAGTACTTCATTCCCGAGTTAGACGTACCATAACCAACAGCTAAAACTGCGTCATTGAGACGATTATTTGGACAGTTAGCTGGATTGAAAACTCCTCCTTTGTACAAATGCAAATCCTCCGCATTCATAAGTACAGATATATAAGTGAAACAATATTTGGGTATGCAGTAGGCCAAAACTAAGTGTACTCTTATAACACAGATTCCAATCTTTCACGATTCCAATCTGTGTTATAAAAGTACACTAAGTTTTGGCCTGCTGCATACCCAAATATTGTTTCATTTATTTTCTGACTAGTCAGCAATAAGACTACCTTTTTCTTTCTAAATTAACTAGAGTGAACAGCAAATTACGCTAGAAATGTTCTATGCTAAACCGAATAATGTTAGGTATATGAATTTTGGAACGCACTATCAGTTTATGAAATGTCAGTTAATCTATCCTGGACACTTTGTTGTTTTATGTTTGATGGACATTAATGAAGTTAATTTTTGTTCAATTGTCCAGTGTTTCCTTTTGGACAAATTATTTATTTATGCGTGTATTTTTTTATCTTCGATATGGAAAGAGGACAATACCTGGTTTTCCTTCTGTGTGTGATTTGTGCAGTGAAAATTGTGTTTCCACCGGATTATCCTCTTGTCTGCTGGAAATTCTCCAAGTGATAAATTTCTTGATGAATCCCTTGGTTGGAGTTGGCTCATTCAGGTTAGTATTATTTCAAACTTCTTTCAAATATTAAGTATGATTTTTAATATAATTATACAATATCTGCTGACTTTTCTATCAATTTCAATAAAATTCTGGGACCAGAAGATTCAGAATGGTTTCTCGTTTCATCGCCTTGGGAAGAATGTTTTGTTGATAGAAAAGTTGAAAATCATCCACTTTCCTTAGTTACTAACCATAAATTTCTAACTTTGTTATCTTAAAAACTATTTTCTTCACAAGTTTGCTACTTATTTCTAAACTTAGATACATATTTCCTTAATATTTGTGTAAATAAATATTTAACCTCACTTATGTCTAAACATATAAATTTTTCGTTAGTAGCATTTCATACTCGTAACTTGGGAAACGGTTTACTATAATAGTTTTCAAACTTTTCATTATTTGAACAATTTCATTGTCTCTTCCAATTTTATTTAACAGATATATTATTTCCATTTGACATTGATTTACATCCTCTGCCGGTTGTCTATTTTGTGGAAAGTATAAATCAGTTTGAATTTTGAATTTCCCGCTCTTTCGTTCTTGTTTTCATGTGAAGTATGTGAGCGTCTCGATATGTACAGGGTGATCTAGCTGTACTTCTACGAATTTTCCTGAGATGATGTAAATGTCTCCCTCCACTGTTGTCGAACAAACAAATACTTTGAAATTTTGGTAGATCGCATATTTTAGAAACTGTAGAATTATAATAGAAACACATTGTGAAAAACATCGAAAAGCTTTCCTCTCATTATCATGTTTTGTACTACTCACATTTTGACTCAATATGACATAGACCGCGTACAAGTTCCACTTTTCCTGTTAGGACTCATCAACTTTTCGCTGGACTTGATTTTACTCCCCCCTTGTATGTTATTTTACTCGAGTACGGCACTGCAAACAACTGATCTTCAAGAGCAGAGACCACTTCTACATAAGCATGACAAACAGAAGCATGAGCGATTGTTGATTGTCACCGGCACAGTAGGAAAGATGAACCCCTCTAATTGAGTGACCACGATGGAACAGTGATACAGGGTCGGTCATGACGGTGGCATATCAAGCACTTGGAATGAGTCATAGCAAGGAAAATTTCCCATCAGGAATGTGTTACGTTCGCTTGACATATCTTGTCGGTACTTGCGACAAATGGATCTCAACAAGAACAAGATGCAATTGATGAGAAAGTACTACTACAGTTACCAAGATTTCAAAGAGGATATTTCAGTAGAGACAGATGACAGATTCTATATGGCCCTTGAAACGGTGCCTACGATTAGTATATTTTATACTAGCACATTCGATTTTCAACGTTTCTATCTCTGACCATTTTGCATTTCAGCTCCAATTATTATTTTTGTTCGTTTTTTTACTTGTTTGTCACCTGCTTCCAAGTATGTTTATATCTTAAAATCTAAGCATCATATAACTCCGATTTTTATTAGAATGCCCAATACATACCTGACGATTCACAAGTTTTTATTAGTTGATTCAGTTAAATAAGTAATTTCAATGTAATCATGGCATACCATATGTGTCTAGTGAACCAACAGTGAATACATTATTATCATTATTGAACACAAATGGTCGCTTCAAAAGAACTAGTAGTAGAAAGCCAAAAACTCTCTTTTCCAAAAACTAGTCCAAATTCTGTACAAAACGAAATCAAGAAATGCCAGTATTTTACACAATATTCTTATTGGAGGACACGACACACTACATAAACAATAAAAAACACGATAAACTCAAAACACGTGAAAATTGCAAGAAACACACAATACAGTTAATAACACAACAGACACCTAGGTACACAACACATATAAAAGGCAAAAAACTCAAAAACCGTCAAAAAGCAAATAACGGAAAAAGCACACCCAACACATGATACAGATCACATTACACAATACGGACATACACTCAATACCCACACATTCACAAAATATACACAACACAAAACATATAACAAAAATGCAACACAAAACATATAACACAACCACATAAAAAATACAAAAGGTGCAAAAATATAGAAACAAAAGACGCAAGATATTCTAAAATACTCAAAAATACGCCTAATTTTTTCTAGAACACGCAAGAAACAAAATATTGCAATGAATACACATGCAATACTCAACATAATACCACTTATAACACACAACACAAAAAACATCATACAACACATGAGAGAATACCCAAGAAACAAGACGCAACAAACGCAACACACACAAAAACACAATAAATGAAATAGACACAAAAAACCCATACTACACACGACTGAAAACAAACGTACAACACAAAACATACAACCATAAAACATAACACATAAAAACACAAAACGCGATAAAAAACAAAAAACCGCACACTACACATAACACACACCACAAAACACACGATGAAGATCACACAACACACTTGCACACAAATACACACAACACAAAACATACAACAAAAATGCAACAGAAAACATATAACACACACATACCACATAAAAAATACAAAAGATGCAAAACTATTGAAACAAATAAAGCAAGATATTCTAAAACACACAAAAATATGCCTAATTTTTTTTGAAGACGCAATACACAACATAATACGACTTATAGTACAGAACACAAAAAACATACAGCAAACATCATAAAATACATGACAGAACATAAAACACGCAAGAAACAAGACGCAATAAATGAAATAGACACAAAAACGCATGCACAATATACTACACGCGACACGAAACACACAACCATAAAACATAACATATCAAAACACAAAACGCGATAAAAAAAAGTAGCGCACCGCACATAATCCCACTGCAAAACACACAGTGAACATCACACAACACACACACACAGACACACATATAAATTAGTATAAACTACGCTAGGATCTCAAAATACTACGCTCAAACACAAAAATCGCCAAAAAAAAATTCGAAAAACCGCATTGACTGAAAACAAAAACAAAAACGCACACACAGCACACTACGCCTAACAACGCACAAAAACACAACAGGCAAAAAAAATTAAAAATTGCATGAAAAATAGAAAAACAACACAAAAACACAAATCAAATGATACGCAAAATCACACACACAGTGCCCTTCGCCGTTTACTTTCTGTGAATTATATTTCTCGCAATCGGAAATCAATTAAACTCGGTTGAAAGTTTTGGCTAACCCTGTATTACACCGATTTCTCGGATCTGACGGCCACATTACGATCTTTTTCAGAGTTAGACAGGTTGAACTATTTGAATTAATGGTGGGCTAGATTGGGACTGTAGGTATCGGGAGGTAGCCAAAAACTTTATTGATATGAACGTTATTGAAAAGTGACATTTTTGACGAGTTACGAGGAATGCCTTGGATGGGTTGATTTTAAGCAATCAAAAGTTTGAAAAAATGCAAACTAGAAGGCAACTGTCAAATTATTGTCTTATATTATCTTATAATGAGCAATTAGAGTTTGTTCATAAAGTTTCGAGTCGTGTTGATCGAATATCAAAATACAATGTGCGTTCAATTGATATTCAATATGTATTCAAAACAAAGATTGAAAATATAGAAATATGGTGAAACTGCACCCCTGCAGAGTGAATCCTTCATAAACACTTCTTCCATGTAGTTAGTCAGAGTGATTCTTTGAAGTTTTGAAAAAACTGTCGTCTGTTATTTTTTTATATAAATTTGTTGTATTTCCTCATATGAAGCGGAAAATGCACGTTCAATTTCATGTAACTAACACTAAACGAAATAATTCTGCAATTTCTTATAAAAATCTTTCGTACAGTATTTAATAAATTAATGAATCCCATGAAAAATTAAAAAAAGATATACCTGATTTTTCTTCATTCATTTCAAATCTGCAACTATTTTCAGAATACGATTTTTTCCATGACGGTCAAATTAGCGACTGCAATTTCTCAGCCCAAGCCTGCTTCCGGAGGAGTTGAGCGAAACTAGTCGAGTTGCAAATTGTTTTCGAAAAGACACTTTGAAATTCGTTCAAAATCATTATGTAACATATCTTCCCTTAGACAAAACGGGGGGTTTCGCTGGGTTCTATTCTTGGCCCTATTTTCTTTGTCATTTACGTCGGCGATATTTTATGCAACTTTCTGAATACATCATTTTTCCATTCTCCTGACGACATCAGTTCAAGGAACGCGTTCAAGGGGTCTTTCACTCCTGCGCCCGATCTAGGGGGGCAAACCGGACAGTTGCCCGGCGGCAAAAATGAGGGGCGACAAAAATAGGTTGAAATTATACCATCTGTGGAATAACGCATGGGTAAAAGGCGACAAAATTTATTTTGCCCGGAGCAGTGAAGTAGCTAGATCGAACGCTGGTCACCTGGATCTATACTACAATAATAAGACCTATGTTAACATAAGATTGCATGGGGATCGAAAGTTCTACAAGCAACGCAATGGTCATCCAAAAGTTATATCAAATACAGCGACTGGCTTGTTTAAACATCACAGGAGCCATGAGAACAACACCAACCATGGCAATGGAATTAAATACTGGTCTGACCTCTCTGGGATCTGTTCGTTAAGGAGAAATAAAAACAACACTGAGTCAGATGCTACAAATGCAATACGCATGTATACGGACGGCTCAAAAACCAAAGAAGGCCCAGGATGTGGACTGTACTCCAGATCACTTAACCTAAGGATTAAGTAGGGAATGGGAAAAAATACCAGTGTGGTCCAAACAGAACTGGTTGGTATCACAATCGCCACAAAAAAAAATAACCATGAAAGGAATTTCTGGCAAAAACATAACATTCTGCACTGATAGCAGACAAGCCCTATTAGCCTTGAACAGACAACGTGTTACCCCAGAGCTAGTACTAGAGTGCCAGCAAGATTTAGCCAAAGCCTCGGTAGATAATATCATTATCCTGAGGTGGGTTATAGGGCACGACAGGAGTAAAGGTAATCGTATTGCCGACTATTCAGCCAAGGACACGGCTGGACTAAGCATTTTAGGACTCAGTGGTACCTACGGCCTGATGACTTCGGCAATTGCGGAATTAGCCAAACGACACACTCATGATCAATCCCTAAAGAGATGGGATGAAACAGTAGGTTTTCTGACTGTCAACTAAGGAAACACCTCCACAATATGGGGCTAGTAGACACACCTCTATGCAGGATGTGTGAACAGGAAGATGAGACTGTCAGACATGTCCTATGCGAGTGCCCGAAGTTATCGTCAGTAAGAGAGTGTGTGTTCGGCGAGTCTTGGCCTACACCTGCCGATATAAAGGAGATGTATCTCAGTGACTTATCCACCTTCCTGGAAAGGACAAGATGGACGATGACCTAGCAGGACAACTCCTCGGGAGGATGTACAATAGGTCACATGTGGCATAAGTTCTGTGGGCCTCTACTTACCCTCCCTACTCTACAGATACAGATACAAACATCAGCTCAATGTTCCACGACTCAGAAATGTAATATACTTGATTCATCACAAAAGTGATGAACAAAACTCTTCTGAATATATCAAGAATTCAGAGCATTTTTCCAATTCTCACCCCCCTCACATCCTTATCCTTAATAATTCATCTTATTTATCAAATGATGTTATATATTATTATCACCTGGAAGATGTTCAATGCCGTCCTACAATTAGTTAACATATAATATCCTACTGTTGCCATCTATTGCCTGATGACCAGAACTGACACGAAAATTTGCTCGGTTAACGTGAAAATAAATACTTTCCTAATCAATTCATCACATTGTATTCAATAGTTCGGCTTTTCAAATATAAATGGCGAATGTGAAAAATCATATTCATAGTGTTGTTATCTATTATCTGATTATACCGGCATCGACATGAAAATTTGCTAGGTGAACATAGAAATGAATAGTTTCCCAGCGTGTTCATCACATTGTATTGTGTAGTCAAGCTTTTCACGAATAGATGGCGCAAGTGAAAAATTTTCTTCGAAAAATCACTGAGCTCATTATTATATAATGTTGGGCGATTTTCGAATTGAACCAAAGCGCTGCTGATACAGTCCGAAAAATCAACCAGGCATATGACAATGATAGTGTTGATGAACGAACTGATCAACGTTGGTTTTTAAAATTTCGTTCCGGAGATTTTAGCCTCGAAGATGAACGCCGAAGTGGTCGACCTACAGTAATCCAGGACGAGGATTTGAGGAGCCTGGTGGAGACTGACCCATCGAAAACGGTGCGTGGGATGACGATAAAACTGGGTGTCAGTTCCCATGCGGTTTTTGATGGTTTGAAACGTATTGAGAAAGCTAAAAAGCTCGAAAAGTGGATGCCGCACGATTTGAACGATGGGCAGAAATTGTCGCGTTACCACTTCTTTTCTTCTTTGCTTTTGCGAAACTAAAACGATATTTTTCGGCACCGATTCAAACGGCGCTCATTTGGAATATTAGCTTGAAACAACTCAATAACTACATATGTGACCTTTTTTTTTCGTTGTANAAACTCTACTCTACTCTAGTGTATAAAAATCGCAAAGAAAAACACCCCTTACTCAACATTTTTATTCAAAGAACGTGACATTTGGTTCGCATCACGACGAACCACAGAAAAAATAAATAAACTCACCACGTGCCAAACAGACACCTGTTTTAAAATGATGGGAAAAAAGAGTAAATCACAATTATATGTACAGTATAAGAAAATTATGCTTAATACAGTTGAAATCTTGCTAAATGTCACGCTACGGTACCCGCCCCGCCCTACTTCTTGGGCCTGAACTCGATCTTACGCGTCTTCAGCGAAGAAAACTTGAGTCTCTTCATGTAGTAGCAAAGACCTGCCAGCATCGCGAATATGCCTATACATTTGATGAGCATTTTCTTCCTGTCGTCGTGCTCGGGTTCCGCGGTCCATTTCAAGAAAGTGGATATATCTTTGGCCAACTGGCTGGCCGTTGCAGGCGTCCCATCGGAATACTCGATGGCTTCGTTGTACAGCGCTTGCGCCATCGAAATAGCCCCTCCTGGGAAGTAGGGGTTGAAGTACTGGCCTTCTCGCAGCACCACGCCCGCGGGAGGATCGCAGTAGCCTGTTAGTAGGGCGAAGATGTAGTCCTCACCTGCAGAATAACATATTGTTGTAAATCATGCCCTAAAGAAAATAACGCCGGCCGCCACTGGCAGCCATAAATCAAATGTGACGTAGTCAAGGCCACGCGCAGCCTCGATTATGATAATAATAATAATAAATTTATTGCCCATCAAAATAACAAGATAACTTTCCATGAAAACTCTATTTTCTTCGAGGAAGTGTTGGAACCTGAGATACTAAGGACGATGAATAATTTGAAAAATAAATCATGGAGTGGATTTGCTCCCAACAATACCGGGCATTCTAGTGAAGCTCATAAATAAATCAATATTTGAGGGAGTTTTTCCTGAAGTCTGGGAAACCGCAAAGGTTATACCAATACATAAAGAAGGTTCCCAAGTAGATATTGACAACTATCGCCAAATTTCATTATTAAATGTGCCATCAAAAGTACTAGAAAAAATAGTTGCAAATAGAATTGTTCTATTCCTTGAAGAATACAGAATCTTTTCTGATCAACAACATGGCTTTAGAAAAGCTAGATCGGTTGAAACAGCTATTGCTAGTAAGTTTGAGTTCATTTACAATAACATAGATGAGGGAAAGTATGTAGTCTCAATCTTATTTGATCTGGCGATCAAATAAGATTGAGATCAGTAAATTGTACAACATTGGTAGCAGAGGATTCTTATTTGAATGGATTAAGTCATATTTATCTGACAGAAAAATGGTTGTGACTCTGAATAACACTGCATCACATATTCAAGATATTATGCTTGGTGTACCACAAGGTTCAACATTAGGACCACTGCTGTTTTCAATCTATATAAATGATTTCACTTCTTTGACTGACGACTTGTTTATTTTGTGGAAATTCATGTTCACTGAGGATACACTACAAAACACACTTTTGTCTATTTTCCACGATATTTCTTTATTGTTGACTAGTTTCGGCTCTTATACCATTTTGAAAATGGTGTAATTGCTGGTGTGAACGTTGTAATTAAAAAATCTATGAAGATGCTTGGCTTTATAAAGAAAACCACTCATGATTTCACCAACATCACTGCTATTAAATCTCTTTATTTTTCCCTGGTTAGATCTCATCTCGATTATTGTTCCACAGTTTAGTCCCCTCATTAAGTTACACAAAAAGTGGAACTCGAGGCCGTACAGCACAATTTCCTGCGATATATTGCCTTCAAGATGCATATAACTGCATTGGACTGCATTTTGAACATACCTTCTCTTGAGGCTCGCCGGAAACATAGAGATTTATTACTTCTATTCAAAATTATCAACGGACTGAGTATCTCTCCAAAGTATCTTTACTTGTCCCCAGTCGTTCAACTAGACAGATGCAAACGTTTTAAGTTTCTTTTCACAGATTCATATAACAGCTTTATTCCCAGAACTCTTCGATTGGCTAGCTCTTCAAATAACCTTAAAAACTTTAATATATCAATTTCCCGCTTTAAAAACCATATTCTTAGCCATCTAATAATCTCTGCTTGTGTTGTTGTATTGTGTCTACTGTTACTTGCCTGTTAGAATTATATTAGTTCAAATGTATAAGATATAAATTAATTTCGATATTTTTTTTACCAAACATGAACTTTTATAAATGCTGATAATCTTGAACTCTCTTGCACTAAAACGATCAAATTTGAAATGGAGTGGAGTGATACTATGAGGATCTTCACTCCGAGTCATATTTTCATTTGCCTCATACAGGGTCTTCAAAAAATGCAGATACTTTGATCTCATGAAAAAATGAG